TTTTGTTTGTTTTTGAGGGGGGGGGTTTAGGGTTTAGGGTTTAATGTCGCCCACACTAGGGTTTCCAGGAGAAGAGTCGGCAGCCAATGCTCTAAGGGTTTAGGTTTTGGGGGGCTTTAGCGTGGGCTTATTCTGGGTTTAGGCTTTCGGCTTTCGGGTGTCTTGGGGTTTAGGGTTGTGGCTTATGAGGCTTTTAACAACTTGAAGGCTTTAGGGCTTAGAGTTTCGGTCTTTAGGGTTGGGGACTCAGGAATTAAATGCTGGAGTAGGCTTTGTGAGTTTATCTTGAACAGGCTTGCCACAGTTTCTAGAACAATTTTGGGCTTTAGGTTCTAGCCCCTAAGCCCTAAATAAACCCTTTTCTAGCTTCACCATCCATGCCCTAGACCCTAAACCCCAAACCGTAAACCCAAACCCTAAGCCCTAAACCCATACCAAAGCATACACTCCAACTCCTCGGCTCGGGCAAAAAGGGGATCGTGAATTCTGCGTACGACTCGAGTTGGAAGGGTCCAAACCTCAAGGTGTAACATGCGGATGATATGCATGTATGTGTGTATACATGTGTATATATATATATAGATATGCAGATTTGTAGACGGACAAATATATGTGTATATATATATATACACATATTCATATGTATATGTATATATATATATATGTATATATATATACATATATAAAGGCATACACACACATGCACACCTGCACACACAACACACGACTTCGCCGGCACACCCGGGCACCCTTCAGATCGTTTACTACACGACACGCACCTCCAACCGGAAGACCCGGCACATGGCGTTGGCGCAAGTACTCATCGTTGTAGGACTGATCGCCGAGCACAGGTGACTTACCACGAACAACGTTCCTTCTGAAGTGATCAAGGAGGGCCTGCAACGCTTCCCTCAAGGCGCGCCACTCATCATGAGGCCAACCAGCCGAAGCTGGGTAGATCTTGTCCATGAACTCCGAGTAGAACGTCCATGCAGAGCCAACAGAGCGGATGAACAGCCAAGTACACCTGCCACGATGAACAACGGCAGCAGTAGAGATTGATCCGTTCATGTAGCGTTCAAGCTCCGATGAAGCCACACCATAAGAGACCTCGCAACGCAAGGACTCGATCTGAATCGAAGCCATCTGACTAACAAACAGCAAAACCCCAAACCCTAAACCGTTCAGCCCTAAAGCCCTAAATCCTAACCCCAAAACCCCACACCCGGTCCTACACCCTAAACCCCTAGGGACACAACCCTACAATGTCCACAAGAAGGAAGGAGTTCAGGGTTTACGGGCTTGGGGTTTATGGGTGTGGGGGTTTGGGGTTATAGGGCCCTTCCCCCACTGTCGGATGAGAGGCTATGCAGGAGTGTATCCCTTGAAGGGCGTGTAGGGACATCATGAATTGAGTAACGTGTTCGTTAAAAAAACTCTCTTGGATAAATACTAGGCAAGGTTATATCCAGTAACAGGATCTTAGGGAATATCATAGTAAAAGAAAACCAGGAGCAAACAAAGAAGAGTATAATTATGCGATTATTCAGGCCCCCATACAGTAACAGTCTATTATAGGGCCTACTATTAAGGGCCTTATATACCTATAGTATGAATATTATCCAACTGTTACTGAGTGGGGGCCGTACCCAAAGTATATGCAATTTTTCAGGCCCCTACATGCCCTACATTACAGTCACCCATGCAAGATGACACAGCCTTGGCCAGGGCCGCCATCGTAGCAAAGCGGCTTCCCCGACGCTGCGTTACGGACTTGATGGCTGCGGCAAGCACAAGTTGTGAGTTTAAGATTCAGAATTCGAAGTACATCATCGTATAAGTCTTGGATACGAGTACTTGAGTTAGGGCTAAGATCAAAGTACCTGACTTAGATCGACCCCCATCTCGATTGAAGCCTCCCAAATCGAAGCCTTGATCAGAAATCCTAGAAGCCCAAGAGGCCCCTGAAGCTGAAAGCTTAAATCCTGAGACAAAGCAGCGCTGTAGGGTTTAGGGTTTTAGGGTTTAGGCGCTTGGGTTTAGGGCTTGGGTTAGGGTTTAGGGTTTAGGGGTTGGGGCAGAAATCGGGATCGTCGCATCCAGTGCAAAGGAGACTAGAACTCACAATGAATTATGCATAACCAGCATGTGCAATGTATAGAGGCGGGCGTGGAAGCACACAGTGATACATACACAGCTACACATTGCACGCATGTAATCCAGAAGCCCTTCGAGTTGCACAACCTGAACTTTTTGTGTTATCCCAAAGGCTCCACTCAACAGATTTCGAGGTTCTTGGAGCTTGGGAAACCTAGACTTCTCCATAGCTGGTGCGTTTAACGGCTTTGGATTTAGGATCCAGGGCTGAGGGTTTGGGGATTTCTCTTTAGGGGCAAACCGTCGAGGAACAATAGTAGTACAGCAATACGTTGAGACTTGAGTCGACGAGAACTTCTGGATCCTTGGGATACTGGCCACAAAGATCGAGACATATAAGCAATCAGAATCGCACTTGTAAGACAGTTGATAACATGTAGTTTAAATAGGGGTTCGGAGGGGGTCTTCTACTAATCAAAATAATGAAGGCTCAAGAGGAGACACTCTTACTAATGATTCTGACGCTCAATTTCACTCTCCGAATCCGTCGTCTTCGAGCGTTCGAGGTGTCTCCGGTGGCGCAGCGGCAGCTCTTCTCGCCCTGGCGCGCTTGAGCGCTCGCCTCCGGACCGAGACCTCGAGGGTCGGGAAGACTTGGGTTTTGGGGTTTTTAGGGCGTTTGAAGGTTTTTTGGCAGTGCTAGGTTTAGGGGTTTAGGGGTTTCAGGGTTTAGGCTTGAGGATTTAAAGTTGCATGTTTTGCGCCAACTCCTGGGATATGAAGACCTGCTGGGCACGACGCAAAAGTGGCCCTGCATGTGCACATAGAGCCGATCTACTTGTGTAGCTTAAGATCTTCAGGCCCGGTCTTGACCGGGAACCGTAAACCCTAAACCCTAAACTCGAGCACCCCTACCTAAACCCCTAAACTTTGCCCTAAACTTCTAAACCTCAGAACCCCTAAGCTTCCAAACCCTTAGCCGTAAACCCTAAACCCTAAACCTCTGAACGTCTAAACCCTAACCCCGTAAACCCCTAAACTTCTGAACCCTAAACCCTAAGATTTCCAACCCGTCTCCTTAAACCCTAGAACCTTCCAAACCCTTATATCCCTAAACCCTAAACCCCTCAACTTCCAAAACCTCATCCCTAAGTTATCTAAACCCAAGAACCCTCTCAAACCCCTATATCCCTAAACCCTAAACCTCTAAACGTCTAAACCCTAAACTAAACCCGAGAACCCCTCAACTTCCCAACCCCCATCCCTAAACCCTAAACTCTCGAACCCTCTAAGCCCCTATATCATATATATATATATATATATATATTATTTATATCCCTAAACCCTAAACCCCTGAACTTCCCAAACCCTCATGGACTTCCAAACCCCCATCCCTAAACGGTTCAACCTTCAGCCCCTTAACTAAGGAATATACCTTACATCATATAAGGGATCCTATTATAATTTAAGGTATATTCCTTAATTAAAGGGTTTTGGAGGCTCTGGGTCCCTAAACGGTTCAACCTTCAGCCCCTCGCCTGGAGACGGCGTCGAGCTCCTGGGATGATCCCGGGGTTTGGGGGTTTAGGGGTCTTTGGGTTTTTTTTTGGGATTTGGGGTTTAGGGTTTGGGGGTTTTGGGGGTTTGGGGTTTAGTGTTTGGGGGTTTGGGGTTTTGGGGTTTTGGGGCTTTAGGGTGTTTGGCGCTTTATAGGAGTCCTTATACAAGGGATCCTTGACCCGACGTACCTTCCTAAACCGAAACACCCTAAACCCCTAAACCCCAAAACCCCTAAACCCTAAGCCCCTAAACCCTAACTAAACCCCTAAACCCCCCCAAACCCCCCTAACTAAACCCCTAAACCCCCCTAACTAAACCCCTAAACCCCCCTAAACCCCTAAACCCCCCTAAACCCTGAATCCTTTGAAGCCTCCCAAGATCCGATTCCCTGTCCTTGGCACTCGTGAAGCGGCATGCACAGCTGCAGGTTCCAAGGGACGAGCCTGCGACGTAGGGACCCAAAGCCCTAATGTAGGGGCCTCGTTAATCAAAATAGGGTTTGGGGGCCCATTATGGTATAATTATCATAAGGAACCCCCAAAATAGTAATTATTTAGGCCCCTATATTAAACTTGGGTCTGTGAGCTTTCTAGGGTTTAGGGGTTCGGGCTTTTGGCGTTGAGGGTTTCATCATCATCTCAGGTTGAGGACTTTTTTTATTGTTCTTAGGGGCTGAGTATCTTAGCACAAAAAATCAAAAGGCTTACCTTTTGAAGTAGCGTTATATAAGCCCCGAAAGGCAAAGGTTAAAGGTGACCTACTCAGCCCCTGAGGCTTTGATTCAGAGCTGAGTAGCTGTTTGTTGAAAGCTCCTTTTCGTTACCGCAGAACTGGTTTAGGGTTTATGGTTCCGGGTTCTGCAGCTTCTTGGATCAAGGCTCAACCTGCATCTGAACTGTGAGAACATCTAGTTCAGCCTACTCATGTCCTAAACCCCCCACAGACTGAGCTACATGTATAAATGCCCAAACATCTTTTCCGTCTTAACCGTAAAACTACTCAAGTCCGAGAACTGGAGCGTAAACTATACAGAAACACAAAACCCGAAGAACCTCTCAGAAGAAGCCCTCATACAACCCTACATGCTGAAGTTCTTACACTGAACTGCAACAGTCCTTAACTCGGAACAATAAGCACCCTAGACCACAAACCCTGTACGAAATCGGCAAAACTATCTTAAATCAGATTAAGAGCCATATTCGGTACCATAAGCCCTCAACGGGCAACCACCCCTTCCCTCTGCAACCCTCCACCGCCCGCCGCCCCCGCCCCCAAGCAAAACTCCCACACCAAGCCACACATGAGCCGTTCTTCGCAGAATGCCGGGATGTCAAAGCCGTCCTCTACCTCTGCGGCTTTGCACCGTTTTGAGTCGATGGGTTTAGAGTTGAAGCTTTGCGGTAACGCAAAAACAACCTACCTGTACGTGAAAACCCGAAGGCCCTGACTCCGTCAGACCTCAAGACAGCAGGCTGAGGTACTGGTAGTTGCAACCCCTCATACTCATAATATACTTATACCATCTTATACCCTAATGCGCCCCAATCCCTATCATGTTTATGACCCGCTGAGTTAAACCCACAGACACCTGTAGTAACACCCGAATAGAACCCCGCAAAATCTTGCAAACTCCTCCCTTTCGGCCTGCTACCAGGGCGTGGTCCGTGGTTGACCTCCACCTCGCAAGGGACAGCGGGAAGATGCAGCAGCAGCAGCAGCAGCAGCAGCAGCAGCAGCAGCACCAGAACCCACCAGCAGCAGCACCAGCACCACCAAAACCGGCATTATCATCATCACCATCATCCTCCTTCTCATCATATTCTTCTTCTCCATAATCACCAACGTCATCATCATCATCATTATCATCGTCAAATTAGCGGTATCAATCCTTGCCATACTCGTCATCAGCTACATCATCGACAGCAACAGACACAGCAATGACAACATACCATCTGCATCGCATCCGGATGCTCCTTATCCATCTCGTCCCTGGCAGCTACACTTCATATCGCAAGCCTAACAGCCGGGAAAGCAAATGCACCTTGCAATCACAGGAGCCCCAAGCCATAAATCCAGCGATGACAGAAGTGGTCGGTGCCGCTGTCGTCGCCATCGTCGTGGCAGTAGGGACAGGAGTATCAGCAACCATAGCAAAAGCAACAGTAGCATCGGTGGCAGAAGTACTTGTAGTAGCTACAGTTGGCAGTCGTGCTGGTCAGCTTGTCGTCGTTGCAGTCGTCCTCGCCGTCGTCGTCCAAATCGTGGCCGAGGTCGTAGAACTCGCTACTATGTCGTGGTAGAGCAACAGCGGTCGTCGTCATCGTTCAGTGGTGGAAGACAACCGGAACTTACGAAACCCCAAAAAAGGGGCTTTAATGATTAGAGTAGGTTTTTGGAGCACCTTCTACTATACTTATAGTAAGGAGGCCCCAAAAAACAACACCAGTATAGGTAATTGTTCAAGCCCCAATAGTGGAAACCGTAAATCCAAAACCCTACCTGCGTGAGGCAGCTGTCCCCATGGCCTTCAAAGCCGGGATTCTGCGGCCTGTTGAGCTGCAGAAGTCGCGATACCTGAGGTGCTTTAGAAAGGTTTGGGGTCTAGGGGCCTTAAGACTTTAAATAGTAGGGCTCCTTAAAAAGAGTTCCTTAAATTTAAAGGGCCCTATAAGCGATCTATGATAGGGTTCTCATATTAGAGGGGCCTTAATGATTAGAATAGGGCGTTGGGGTATATCATACCATAATCATAGTAAGGAACCACCGAAATAGTACTAGCATTTATTTCGGCTCCTATATTAAGGTTTAGGGGCCTCGACGGGTTTTGATGTGCCTGGCTTGGCATCTGAATAGGATCTGCATTGCGTTCTCGGCTCAAGGTTCAGAGTGTAGGGCTTGGTGTTATTTCAAGGGTTGCTCAGTGGTTCCTTAGAAACAGGGATGCCTTTTTGAAGGACCAGTCACAATGAGAAAATTGAGGGTCCAAACCCCAAACCCGAAACCGCTGAATCCTAAACCCTAAACACGAGCTCTTGGCTCAGGCGCTGGTTGTGGACGCCTGTCAGGAGCTCCTCCACGAGTCTCACCTCGGTCGCCATGGAGAAGCTAAGTCGACAGCGTTTAGGGCTTTGGGGTTTAGGGTTTGAGGGTATAGGGGTTTCAACTTTAGGGTTCGCAACTGCAGATACGCCAGTCGAAAGCCACGATCACGTCTTGACTCTACTCCGAAAAGCCGCAAAGAGCAACTCCTGAATTACTTCCCAACGTCGACACAGGCCTTGGCCTCTAGCCTCTCCACACCCAATCTCCCCTCTCACCCGCCAGCGCTATCCAAGTTGCTGCCTCTTGGTGACCTGCACCCAAGCTCTGGTTCAGAATTCTCGGGCATTTTCATGGAACCGTATTGATGTCTTGATCGACGGGCATGATCCAACTCATGCCACGCACTCCTATGGCAAAGGCGATTCTCATCCAAGCATGGCTATTCAAAGGAGGGCGGTTGATCAAATAACAACACTTTAACACCGTGTCTATCCCTCACAACCCTAAACCTGAGAAGCATAACAGCCCCAGGCTATTCCCCGCCTTGATCATCGGTGCTGCTCACGCACAGCATCAGCGGGTCGGAAGAGACCACCCTTTCGGGCCCCTCCTGGCCGCAGTTTGGGGTTGACTACAGGTTTATAGCTTACAGCTGATATGTTTTGCTTTTGGCTTTTTGCCGGCTGCATAGAGCAGAGTCGAGGGCTTAGGGTCTTTTATTAACATCCCTTTTCCATTTGCTACGGTCTACCCAGAGACTCCAATATCCCTTAACTAAGGAATATACCTTAAATTATAATAGGACCCCTAATATGATTTAAGGAATATTCCTTAATTCAGGGATATTGGAGTCTCTGGGTAGGGTTTAGGACTCAAGGCATGTAGCGCTTGGGCTTTCAATGCCGAACCCTTAGGCTCCCGTCCCAAAGTCTAAAAGACAACGCTACTACCCAAACCCCCGGGAGAATCTACAAAGTAGACAAAGTAGATCCCCTCATTTGGGGGCCCTATACTAAGGGTACTTTATAGGAACCCCATTAAGGGATCTACTTTTTGGATCCTCCCGGGGGTCTGGGTATAGGGGCCTTAATAATACCCTACATTACCAGGACCCCTCAATGGCCCTTTAATGGAGCTCTTGGGGTCCTTTATTGGGGGTATTGAGGGCATATTAATCGGTAGTTGGGGAGGTCTTTATACTGTACTGTAGGGACTTTAATAGTACCCTTCATTATTAATGGATTCATACTAAGCCCCTATATTACAATCTTAATGCTAAAACCCCGAGAGCCCCGCCGCCCGCCCTCAAAAAAAAAAAAATACAACAAAAAACACAACCTTGAAGCCGGAGCCAAGACCACGGAGGCGGAGTTTCGCCCCGGTGCGCTTGGCAATGATCTTCCTGAGCACACTCGGGGGCGGGGGGCGGCTTCGTTTTTGCCTTTTTGGTAGCTTTGTTCCGTCTGCGGGTGTACTTGGGCTTTGGGTCATAGGGTTCGAAGGGTGTTACCGCCCAAACCGACAACACCTTACAGATTCCTGACCCCCACACCCTGAACCGTCAAAACCCTACAGTAGAAGCCAGAAAGTCGGAATATCATTATCGTAACCTCTTTAAGGTAAATTATAGGGGATCCTACCATTAATCCATATTCCAACTTTCTGGAGTTCCCTTCAAGACCAGCCGAGAAGCATGTGGTGACCCCTCTCTCCGAAGATCCGCTGGCGCACGTTGAACTCTGAATCCTCCGCGTGCGGAACTTGGTTTCCAGTTCTCGTTAGGTTAGAAGGGGTCCCCACCCTGTAATAGTGACTACAAGGATTCTAGTACGGCCCTATTATATTCCTATTATACCACTATTACAGGGGACTCCTTCTAACCTAAACCGCTTGAAGGGAACTCCAGAAAGTTGGAATATGGTTTCAGGGAAGGATACCCTATAATTTACCTTAAAGGGTTTAGGATAATCATATTCCAACTTTCTGGCTTTTACTTTAAACCCCTGAACCCGTAAATCCCTAAATGGGTAGTTGTCAAAATAGGGGTCCCTTATTGGGTACCCTGAATAATAGGTGCCGTATTATATTAGGGACCCAAAAATGAACCATAATTTTGACAACCACCCAAATCCTAAAACCCTAAAACCCGAGGCTAGGCTTCCTGTCAGTCGACTCCCGGGTCTTGGCGACGTGATTGACAATACTATAGCATAACATAGTGTAATATAGTATGCTCAAGTCACTATATTATCGTATGTTGTAGTATAAAAACACTGTATAATAGTATAATTTAATATACTCTAGTAAGTTATAGTAAAATATCGTAAAAAAGTATATGACAGTATATTGTAATCTGTTAAAGTGTGGATGCAGCTCGGCAGTAGCCACTGCTGCCATTGAAGGGATCGTGACAAACGACGAGGACTCCAGCTGTTCTTACCCACGGGTCCTGCTCGATGCTTAGTATGGAATGGGGGATTGGACCCCTGTAGTAGTCCTTATACAACCGTAAGTAATCAGAGTTCTCAATATCCATTCCCCCAAGCCCTACTAAGAACCAGATAGCCTACTAAGAACCCAAAACCCCCATAGTATAACCCTTATAGTAACCCTTAAAGGAACCCTTAAAGGAACCCCTAAAAGAACCTCAAAGGAACCCTTAAAGGAAGCTTAAGCAACCCCAGTCCTGCTCGATGCCAATCAAAAACTGGCACTGGAGCTTCTCCTGCGAAGTCTGTTGACTCAATTGGGAGCTTTGCTCAAATGGATCTATGAGGGTTCTATAAAGGGTTTAGGGTTTAGAGTTTCCGACAGTTAGGGGTATCTTATCTTGGGATACTTTTAATAAGGATCCTGCTATTTAAGGTGGTACATTAGGGTCCCCTAATTTCGGAAACTCCAACAGAGCTTGTCCTTCGATTCGAAGTCTGGGGTTTTGTTAAGGAATCTTATTTTTGTTGCCATAATAGGCCTAGGGATCTAAAGAATGCGGTTTCCTTGTATGGTAACTTAAATAAAAGGCCTTAGCAATAACCCAGAAGTTTGAGACTCAGTTTGAGACCAACTTCTTGACGGTAAGTTTGAACAGATCGACGGTATCCGTGGTTCTGGCGGTCGCAGCAAGAGCTTCGCCAGAAGCCCCAAACCCTAAACCCTAAACCTCTAACATCTACAACTCCGCAACATACACAAGACTTTCGGGTTGAGGGTTCGTATGTACCGATATGTTGAGAGCCGAGAACAATACAAACAACACCCGGAGCAATTGTGACAGGACGTTCCACATCAAAGTACGGTCGGAAAAAAACTAGGTGCCATACTAGTCACAGAACCGACAAGAGCAGCAGTGAAACCCTGACAGCTTTCACTGAATCTACCATTATCCCAACCTCGAACAAGCTCGACCACCCAAAACCCAAAACCCTAGACCCCTAAACCCTAAACCCTAAACCCCCAGGTCCTCGGGAGATATTTGCAACATGTCCCGCTCCTCGTGGGTGCCGCTGTGTTTTTTTTTTACCCGGGACCTTCCAAAATCCTTTAATTAAGGAATACCTAGGGTTCCTTCAAAGGGATCCTTAAGGGTTCCTTTAAGGGATCTGTAGGGTTTATAGGGTTTAGGGTACCAGAGACCTTCCAAAATCCTTTAATTAAGGAATAGACCTTAAATCCTATTGGGGGCCCTACTATAATTTAAGGCATATTCCTTAGTTAAGGGATTTTGGAAGGTCTGGGTATATCAACGTATCAATTCCAAGGCTGGGTTTCGGGGTCAGGGCTCGTTAGGTTTAGCGTCAGGCGCTTTATTTGTCAGCGATAGCTGGAGTAACCGTGCTAACTCCTGTGGCGGCAGAACGTAAACGACTAAAGGCAAAGGTAGAGGCAAAGGGTTTTTTCGGTTGTTCTCGTTCCTCGAAACCTTTCTCCTAAACCCTAAACCTCAGACCCCTTAAATCCTAAACCTTATACAAACCCTAAACCCGTCAAACGCTAAACTCCAATATAAGACCTGGGGTTTAGGGTGAGTATGCCGAAGCCCTAAACTCGAAACCCTAGCGTGGTCCTGCTATATAGTAGAAGCCAGAAAGTTGGAATATCATTATCGTAACCCCTTTAAGGTAAATTATAGGGGACCCTACCATTAATCCATATTCCAACTTTCTGGAGTTCCCTCTTGAACCTTAGAGTCGCTCTAAGAACGACGGATTCCTTAGTAGTCACAGTGCTCTTATCAGAGGCTTGTAGGGTTTCAGTATGGTTTTTCGGGGCAGTGGTGACTAGAATAAGGCAAGCCATGGCAGGGAGTCTAAGGAGATCATGCTATTATTCTTAGGATTCTTCCAAGTGTCGACGGATTCCGGCGGCTTTCCATCACCGACCTCCTCGCGCACAAAAACGCCCAGGGTCTCGATGTGCTCGGTGAAGGGGAGCATGTCGTAGCAGCCTCTGCTTTCTAGGTTCATGAGTCGCCCTTTAATTGTATTTTCACCCTTTTTCCTACTATTCGGTTTCCCTGGACCCTAAACCCCCCCAAAAAAAAGGGCAGAAGGGTACCACCTAGTTTAGAGTGTCTACAGTTCGTGGTGCTTTATCTAGGGGTCCTTACCACCCAAGGTGCATGTTATGGTCTTCCACTCCAGCAACTATCACACCTTTCAACGAGGCTTGGCGATTCTGGGTCTAGGTGCTTAAACTTCACAAGACAGTTCAGGGTTTAGATATGAATGTTTAGGGGTTCAGGGTTAAGGAATGTTCACTTTTGGGTTTGGCTTTGGACTTACAGGCCTTTGGGCTTCTGTTCTGGGCCACCCAGAACTTCTGACGATTCATGTAGCGTAGCAGGATATTCTGTTTTCGAAACATCTCGGGGGACCAAACCCTAAACCCCTAAGGCCCTAAACGCGGGCGGATGCCTGAACCCTAGCCCTTTGTCAGGGGCTCATGTTCTGGCATACTGGAGAGTCAGTAAGATGTACAGCCAACGTGTCAAGCCTGAGGCTTAAATCACAACTGTTGAGTATTGCATGATAGAGTGCAGTAGTGTATAGTAAAACAAAATACAGAAGCCCTCATCTACTTGAAGCCGCCCCTGGCCTCCCCCCCATGGCCATGCCATAACACCCCGAACCCTGTCTATAAGACCGCAAGTTTAACCCTGAAAGCTGTTGAAACCTGAAGCCGAAACCCCTGTTCTAAACCACTTTGGCACCCTGCAGAGCCCTTACAAACTCAGAAATCACTGAACGCCCGTGCCAGCGAACGAAGGGAAAGCAGCCGAAAAGGAGGGCCGAAGCTGGCATCGGCCTCGGCTGTGCTTGTGTCTGTCTGTGTGAAGGGGGCCCTTAGTTCCAAACATCTTCATGTTTTGAAGGGCTGTCAGTGGTCAGTGGTGGGGCGGCTCGTAAGGGACTTCAGTGGGGCTGCTTTACGCACCCTAGTTGAGTCTAAGTACAGCGATCTTCTGAACACCCGGACCCTAAACCCTAAAAGCCCTAAACCCCCAAATCCCCAAGAAACAAAAATTCATTCAGGGTTTGTAAGAGTTTAGTAAGTTTGACTTGCGCAGTTTTGATAGGGCTTAGCGAGTATACCCTCGCATCTGTACAGGAACTATAGGGGCATGCTTAAAAAACTTCTGCCGACCGAAGAATCCCAATACTTCTTGAACTATTCGTAACCAAACATGTCAAAGGACTCCTTAAGCAAGCCCACAGGGCATCCCTAAAGGAACCCGTAAAGGAACCCATTGGTATCCCTGCAACTTCGTGGCTTTCGGGTTTCTGCCCGTCAGCCGGTCAGCATCGGCCATGAAACTCTCATGGCCACCTGACATCGGTTGACAGTTTAGGGGTTTGGGGCTTAGGGGCTAGGGGTTTCATGATGGGCTTGACGGGGTGGGCTCGTTGACATGCAAACAACTTCTACCATGCAGTGACAGTTGTGCTGATTTAGAGTTGATTGAAGGTTGATGTCTTGGCACAAATATGAAGCGGAACTCTGAAATGTAGACATACATACATACATACGTGCATGCATACATGCATGCAAGCATGCAGGCATACATACATACATAAATACATACACGTAACTGCACAAGCTGCATATGCATATACCTTTCGTCTCGCCCCCTCTCTCTTTCTATCTCTCTCGCTCTCTCTCTCTTTCTGTCTGTCTCGCTCTCTCTGTCTCTCTCTCTCTCTCTCTCGCGCGCGTGCTGACGCGCGGGCACACACAAGCATACTTGTCCATCCGGCTACACACAAACTTCACCTCAACATGCAATATGAAGGAAACACCAATTGCAATACACCGGTACTCCCTCTTGACCGAGCCAAGCATCAGCTCATGTAGATCACCTCAGAAAGACAGTGAAACCCTGAGAACTCTAGAGCCCGATACCGCTTGACTTTGAAGCCACAACCCGAAGCTTCGATTCTGGAGAGCTCCTCAGAGAGGCAGCGTGGTTTAGGGTCTCGTCCCCAACTGCCAGCAGTAACCTCTTCGGGTTTGCCCATTATTATACTTTAATTGTAATAAGGAACCCCTAAAACAGTAGTGATACTTACCCAGGCCCCTACACAGCACAAAAAACCCTGAGCAGCTGAACCCCCTGAAGTGTGAACCCTACCTGACTTTGGTCCTACAACTTAAACTCGTGATGCCGAAAGCTTCAATACTAAACCCCTCTGTCAGCACAGAAACGTAATGTATATGGGCCTTGCTATAACAAATAGAACAGAGCTTGGGCGCCCATTACACTAAGGTTATAATGAGTACCCCCAAAATAGTCTAGGCAATTGTATTAAGGCCCCTATATTGGCCGGGGCCTATTTTCTAGTAAACCCTGGTTTCAGTGCTGCTTAGGACTGCCAAGCCTAACGAGAGATCCGGAGCATTGAAACCGCAGCTCACTTGAGCTCGTCGGGTTTCGGGTTTTGGGGCTCTGTGTTTAAGGCTTAGAACTTTAGGCGTGGAGAGTATAGTGCGATCTGGGTATCCAGAATGTCCAGATGTAATCACGAAAGAAGGGATATCCTGTAAACTCGAAAATTTATCTCTGAGAGGTCAAGCAGACCCGGGCAAATTCAAGCTCGATGTTCCTTCCTCAATTAAGGAGCGTGGGGCTTGTTGGGCTCACAAAAAGTAGCTACTCCCTCCCAAACCCCAAACCCTAAACCTACGTAACCCCCCCCCTGCCCCCCCTCCCACCCAACACCCCCAACCCCCCCTACCCTCAAACCTGAAACCCTAAACTAGACCCTGAACCCTAACCCCAAACCCCAAACCCTAAACCCTAAAACCCAAACTCGACCTAACGACTACCTACGAGGAGGAACGAGACCAAGCCGCCACCCGGACTGAGGAGCTCCGGATCGAGGCAGCCTCGCCCTGCCCAAAGAGGTTTAGAGTTTTTTTTTTGTTTTGAGGGCTCTTTTCCGACTGCAGTACAGCTAGAATTCCTTACCAGAGGTTTAGGGTTTAGGGTTAGTATATGATTCCAGAGGTCTTCAAAGTAAGCCCTTAATCAGCAGCTAATGGAGCCTTATTTCTGCTTGGATTGGGTTTAGGTAGGGTGGGGTGGTATACTTGGGGTTAGTGTATGATTGCATGGAAGAAGTGCCGCCGGGGTAGAACCCTACACCCCTAAACCTTTTAGCTCTAAACCCTAAACCTTAGCAAAATGATCTGGGAGTGGGGGTTTAGGGTTTAGGGCTTAGGAGTTTAGGGGTTAGAGTTCAGCCCTAAACCCTGCCTAGACCCCTTAACTACCCTGTAACATACCTGAAATAACCACTGTTAAGGACCATAAGGGCTCCATGAAAGGGCAGTTGGGGGAGTCCTGGTAAACCCTAAACCTTATGGTTTAGGGTTTAAGGTTTAGGGGTTCATGGGTTTAGGGGTTTCGGGTTTAGGGCTAAACCCTATCAGAAACCCCAGGGGCCCTTTCCTAGAGCCCTTGTCCTTATAATATTTGTTTAGGGGTTTAGGGTTTAGGGGCTTAGTTTGGGCTATGTTAGAGGCTAGCTGAGGGCCCTAGGCAAACCTTACACCCTACTTCGAAGTTGGCCGAAGCTTGCTTCAGAACCCTAAACCCTAAACCCTAAACCCTATAAAGGGTGTAACATTGCTCTCCGTACACTTCCCAAGTCGGACCTAGACCCCCTAACTACCCTCTCACATACCTTAAATTACCCACTATTCAGGACCATAGGGGCTCTATTAAAGGGCAGTTGGGGGGTCCTGGTAGGAGGCTTTTATCCTTGAGCTTCTTGTTTTGCTTCCGCCCAATCGTAATCGTTTGCAGTAGGATGGTTTAGGGTTTTAGAACTTAGGCTTAATGTTTGGGCTCCCTTAAACCACTACGGCCGACCATAAGCTTGTCTCTCGTAGGCTGTTGTTGCTAATTGGGCATGGGGAAATCGTATGGAAGGAGAACATTGAGGACCGGTATGTCTGTCGAGGGCAGCTACGGTATGTCAGGTAGTTACAGCTCAGGACTTGAATCCATCATCAACAACGACGTTGAACAACATGAAGAACTACAAACACTGCAACCCCTAAACCCTAAAGGACAAATACTACTACTACTACTACTACTACTACTACTACTACTACTACTACTACTACTACTACTACTACTACTACTACTACTACTACTACTGCTACAACCGCATCCAGCCATGGTCTGCTATGAGGCGCACCTCGCCCCCCACAAGGCCCTGCACCCAGTGCCGGGTGGCCAGGCCCCTTCGGGGTGGGTCGAGGACCAATACCTGATTTGGGAGTTTCCGAAAACAGGGGACCCTACTATAGCTAAAGACCCCAAAACAAGGTACCCCTAATTTCGGAAACTCCCATTTGGATGTAGGCTTTAGGGGCTTAGGTGTTTTTTCTTAGGGTTTAGGGATGTAGGGGTTTAGAGTTTAAATTTTGGCTGAGGGGTTTAGGGTTTAGGGAGACTCGCAGAATTTGCCGGGTTTCGTTTTGAGCTCCTCTTGTGTTCCGACGCCTCCTGAAGGGTTTGAGCTAGACTCTAACCCCACTCACTAAACCCCCTAGACCCTAAACCGCACATCCTGATACCCGACCAGATTATCCGAATTCTGAATACGGCTACTCTGAGCCCGAACCCTGGCTGTCGAAATCCACTGACTTCATGTAAGAGCCTTCCAATTGGAATGCCTTTGGAAATTTGGTATTCTGCTGGGGCCCTAGGGACTAGTATTCACGAATTATCTCAGAACAAGAAACCCTAAGACCCTGAACCCTAAACCCTATACCCGAAACCCTAAACCCTAAGACCCTGAACCCTAAACCCCAAGACCCTGAACCCTAAACCCTAAACCCTAAGACCCTAAACCCTGAGCCCTAAACTCTAAGATCCTGAAAAACTCTCACTGCCGTGCGACATCTGCGCCACCCTCCGGCCCGGCAAGTGAGGCCAGCGCCTTGCGTCTCCGCAATTCACCGCTTTTGGATTCAGGGTTGAAAGGTTCCTTTAAGGGGATCTATAAGGGTTGAGCCACATATACAAAAGGAGCCCAATACACCGTAGTTAGGGAATATGGCTTAAATTTTATAGGGCTTCAGATTATGATTTGAGCTATACTCCTTAATTAAGGGGTATTGGGCTCTCTGAGTCCCCACTTTTAGATTCACCCCAAGGCTTCATGTACCCATATAGTAGGTACTTAGGCCTTAAAGTACCTTATATAGGGACCCCTTTAAGACTATATGAATATGGGTACATGGAGCCTTTGGGTCATAGATTTAGGGTATAGGGTTTGGAGGACGGGCACCGGCGAGAGTTCAGAGACTCTAAAATCCCTTGAAGTAAGGGGAACGCGTGTTCCCGGATTTGCCGTTCTGATTGCGAGCCCACTGTAAGGCACCATGAAAGTTTCTGGGTATCCCTGAAGAAGGCTCGCCTCGCAGGCGTTACTATTGCGTGCGCCTTGCGCTCTTGCACATGCAGAGACTAACCCAACCAAAAAACATCCAAGCGCAAAGCACTGGTCGCAGTAACATAAGGCCTTGGGTAACACTAATTGGGTGGTTGTCAAAATTATGGTCCATTTTTGGATCCCTAATATAATACGGCACCTAATATTTAGGGTGCCCAAAACGAGACCCTAATTTTGACAACCACCCCATTGGTTGAACCCCTGCGGTCTGGGGGGAGGGGGGCCAGGTCAGGGTTTGGTGGGCCTGGCTGTAGAAACCCGAATCTCAAAGCCCTAAACTTACCTTTGGTTAGTAGGGAATGGAAGAATGGTAGTAATAGTAGTTATACTTGTACCCCATTCCTCCATTCCCTACTAACCAAAGGTAAGTAAAACGCAAACCCGAAACCACATCCAAAACACCTAAGACCCCCTCCTCCAACTCCATACCAGTAAGCGAACACACCCCAAAATCCTGCGCCCTAAACCTCCAAACCCGAGCTAGACCCTTCACTCTTAGAGATGCTTGTTCTTTCAACGAAGATCTCGAGACAGCAAGCTAGTTCATGGTTGGGGGATAGGAATACAAATGTACATTTTTATTCCTTATGGGGTTTAACCCATAAAAAACATAAAATGCTACCCAATTAGGACAAAGCAAAATCACAAGCTTCCCTAGGCCTCCGAAGCATTCAGGGCCGAGAACTTCAGCGACAAACCTTCGCGGCCCTGTGCAGCGGCGGAGTCTTAGGTTTTAGGGTTACGGTTTAGGGTTTAGGGTTTAGGGTCTTAGGGTTAGGACGGTTTAAATCGTGTGTTTTTAGTGCCTTCTGCCAAAGCTTTTCGTGTTTAAGGTGTTTGCTCTTCAGGTCGTAAACCTTAGTTAGGTCTTCCCTGCGGTCTATGAACATTTAGGTTTCACGATGCAGAGCTCAGGGGCAAGAATGAAGCGGGGTTTCGACGGTTTGAGGTCGGATATCTAGCCATGGTTTTGGGCCTTGTGGTGCAAAATGAGTTTAGGATTTAGTGGGGTTAAGGGTTTAAGGTTTAGGGAAGTGTGACGACGAAGTTGAGGATGTGGCGTTGCGGCTTCAAGGTTCGGCCTTAGCGTCAAGGTTTCGCGTCTGGGTGCCGCAGGAGTGACGGAATGTGATAGGGGCCTGAAAGAAACACCAGGGCATCGCAATTTGTGGCCCTCGAAGGTAATTATCACTTCAACTTATCAGATCAATCCTGCCAAAATCGTAGTTTTATACGTCGGGCCTATATCCGTCTGTCGTCGTACTCGTTCGACGTTTGAAAACAGCAAAAAAACATAACTCAGACAATCCACCCCGTCCCGCCCCCTCCCCGCCGCCCAACCCCCAACTTTCGTCCAGGTTCAGAATGGATTTAGGGTTTCGGGCTCAGGTTTAGGCTTCGCTTCTACAGGTTTGTAAGTGAGGATAGGTATAGGGTTCTTTGAGACTGTTCGGGCTTCAGTGATTCAGAGGTACGTGTTGGAAGATGATCTTCTGTTCTATCCATGTAAAAGACGGACATGTGCGTGTCTGTGCATATAGATGTACATGTACATTTATATGCTCTCTCTCTCTCTACATATGTGTCTCTCTTTCTCTCCCTGTCTCTTCGTCTTTCTGTTTCTCTATTCTCTCTCTCTCTCTCTCCGTGTATTTCGTGGTGTAAAGCCAGTCTGCTGCAACAGCCAGACCACGGGTCTAAAAACCAACAACTAACCCAATACTCCTTAAGGAACACGGATTTCATGATTTTGAAGATCTGGGGAATACGCTTCTTAGGGCCTAGATTCAGATGATAAAAGGGGCCTACTCCCCTGATGCGATGCAACCCCCGTACCTGCAACCCCAACACCTAACCTAATGGTAGGTAGTGACCTTTCAGTTCTTAAGAAAAACAATTCGACATAATCGATAGTTGGAGCCGCAGGCAGGGAGTGTCGGGACCTCTACATGGACAGTCGGTCATGGATCGAATCTATCCACCAACCTCGCATGATCGGCTCTGTCAAACTCCACAGATCCCCAAAGTAGTGGGTACTTAGAGGATATGGGACTTAGTAAGTAGGGTTACAAGTACCTTAATTGTGGTTATAAGTAGAAATATTTATAGTTACCTTACTTATAACTCTACTTACTAAGTCCCCTGATCCCCAAAGTAGAGCGTAGGTACGGGAACTCTTGCAATCCCGTTGGCAGGAACGCCCCGCTAACATCGAAACCCAGAATACCGTCCCCCCCCCCCGCCCCCCCCAAGCCTTAAACCTAAAACCCCAAACCCATAGGACCATGCCAGTAGAAGTCTGCGCAACCCCTACAAAACCCTGAAGCTGAGCAAAGGTAAGCACCGTTGTTCGGGAAGTTATTTTTCGACCCCCAATGTTATTTTTTGACCCCGAGTGATTTTTTTGACCCCTGAGGCTATCTTTTCGACCCCCTAGGTTTTTTTCTTGGCCCCTCAGGTCTCTTTTCTGGCCCTGAACGGTTCCGGTCCCCTGGAGGTTACCTTTCTGACCCCTGGGGTGACTTTTCTGGCCCCTACTACTGCTGCTAGCTACTAGTAGTACTTACGAGTCCTGCGACATCTGCTACTGCTGCTGCTACTTGTACTACGACTACGACTACCACTACTAACTACTACTACTACTACTACTACTACTACTACTACTACTACTACTACTACTACTACTACTACTACTACTACTACTACTACTACTACTATTACTACTACTTTTCCTCCTGCTGCTCCTACTACTACTACTACTACTACAACTGCTACTATCCACTATCCACTAATCACTATCCACGATCTACTATTTACGAACTAGTATCGACTAACGACTACCGACTATCGAATAGTGACTATCGACTATCCACAAGGTACTACCGATTTATTTACCCATCTACCATGTACTATCTACCCACTATGCACTATCCACTATCCGCGATCTACTAACTACCATCTACATACTATCGACTAGCGACTATCGATTATCGACTATCTACTATGTACTATCTACCTATATCTACTTATCCACGTAGCTACTTATCTACTTACCTATATACTCTCTACTATCTACTATATCTACCAATCTACCAGATACTGACTGTGATGGCCACTGCGCACGCAGGGCACGCGAAATGCAAGGTCGGGTGCAGCTGCATTCTGGGACTGGCACACAACTTCCACGCCAGATTGAAGGCCGGCGCAGCAGCAGTCGAGCTTCGCTGCAGACGCGAGCAATGGCTGCAGTATTCTGTGCGCAGGTGGCATACTCAAAAATCATGGCACGCAAGTTCCAGGGAAGTTCGGCCCGTTGCTGTTGCAAGCGCTCCGACGATCGACCGCCGCACTCATCTGCAGAGTGGCTTCCTCCGACAAGGCAAGCAGAAACAACGGAGGGGCCGGGTTCACTGCTTGCGCCACTCGTTTACCCACTCTTCCCAGGAGTTTCACCGACGCCCAGCAACTGTGGCAGAACAGACATGTGCACAAAATGCTTCGACTCCAAGGCGAGGAAACATGGCTTCCAATTGCTTTGCACGAGCTGTCTCACTTGTTCCAAGGTTAGAACATGAACATCCGTTTTCTCATAGCACACATAACTTTCGGCATGTCGAACGGCAATGCCATGTGGAAACAAATGGGGAGCAGTTGTTACCAAGAGGTGAAGGTGCATGTTGTTCAACCAGCAGCGTCTTGGACATGCATTCCGCAAGTCCGATGCCATCAACATCGCAATAACCTCTGTCGCAGCTGTTCCTTTGTTTGATACCATGCAATCTGCAAGAACTCGCATAACGTGGCTGCAGTCGCGTCCTAGGTAGTGTGCAAGGGCACGGAACCCGCAGCGGCCGTCACCCACTGTTTCCACCTCCAATGCCTCGCCTTCCTTCCAGTTCCACCCAGTTGTAGACCTGCCTGCGTAACGGCTCCGAGCGTTGCGCCTTGCTCGGCAGGTAGGTTTGGTTCCTGTAAATTTCGCACTCTCGCCAGCACCGCCACCGCGGCGGCACACCGTTTCTATGCATGCACTTCTTAAAAAAAAGGCTATGAGAGCCTACGATAAACCCGACTCTAGAAGCACCCTAAACCCTAAACCCAAACTCCTAAAACCCATAAACCCTAAACCCTAAACCGCAACTTTAAACCCTGAACCCCAAACCTGCACGTTAGGAGGATCCCAGTATCCCTAAATTAGGGAAATTTCTTTAAATCATACGGGATCTTAGTATAATTTAAGGCAAATTCCTTAGCTAAGGCATATTGGAAACCCTAAACCGCAACCCTAAACTAAACCCTAAACCGTAACTCCTAAACTCCTAAACTCCTAAACTCCCTAAACCCTAAAACCCTAAACCCTAAACCCTTATAGATCCCTTTAAGGAACCCTTATAGATCCCTTTAAAAGGAACCCTTATAGATCCCTTTAAAAGGAACCCTAAGGGTTAGGAGGATCCCAGTGAGGGACTTTGGCCTCAGGGCCGAAGTTCCTCTCTGCGTTCGCCTGAAACGGCCCAGCGCCTGCAAAGAGAACGGTAGTGGTTTAGGGCTGAGGGTTTAGGGTTTAGGGCTTTAGGGTTTAGGGTTTATAATATAGGGTTTGGGGTTTAGGGCTTAGGGTTTAGGGTTTAGGGGTTTAGGGTTCAGGGCTTATGAGGTTTAGGAGTTTAGGGTTTAGGGTTCAGGGCTTATGAGGTTTAGGAGTTTAGGGTTTAGGGTTCAGGGCTTATGAGGTTTAGGAGTTTAGGGTTTAGGGTTGCGGTTTAGGGCCTGGGAGTTAGGGCGTTCATGCAGCTATCTTCAAGGATGTGTTGGCTCTCTGGCCTTTGGGGTTTAGAGCGTTCGGTTTTGAAATGGGACGTTTGGGGTTTAGGGTCGTAGAGTTTCCTCGTCTGTTCTTGTAAGACCTGGAGAATGGTCCGTTGCGAAGCTTCGCAACAGCACACAAGATAAGACTGAACCCTAAACCCCAAGCCCCATAAACCCCAAACCTTTCATGTCACCAACCCTAAACCCTAAACTCCGAACTAAACCCGCAAACCCTAAACCGTAAGACTGAATCATCATTTTCAGCAACTGTCGACTTTTGGGTTCGTGAGCCGTGAGCCCTTTCTACAAACCTTTGGGCGCATGCATAAAACTCGTAAAACACACCACAAAAATCCCCCTACCGTAGTGTCAGCCGGATTCTGTTTCGTTACAAACTTGCCAATGCCTTTTGTAAAGTTTCGATGTCAAGACTGCACCCGCGTGAAAGACGAGACGGAATTGTTCGACTATGGGGAAAGATGATCTGAATTTACTAGGGGGAACTCTTGCAGGCATCCGATATCTAGTCATCCGGACCGCTTGGTTAGTATGTTTTGCACTCAAAAACCCAGGTCCGCAGTCGTGCTTCCCGCAATCCGAGATCCTTTAGTCCTCCACCAAGAACTCTAAAGCCTACCCTAAACGGTTTCAGGCTCGGTGGCTGCGGGTTATGGGGTTTGGGATTGGAGGGTTCATGATTCATTGTAAGGATGTTAGGGACTGCAATGCTCAACCAAAGGTGGAGCGTAGGTTTAGTGGACTTCGAAGACCCTGTGACGTGCTGCTATCTGCGGCCACCTGCGCCTTCAGTCGCATCATCCTTCTATTGTGTGAAGACGGACACCCTAAATCCTAGACCCCTGAACCGTAAACCCCGAACCTGAATGTGAAGTCCAAGCTTGAACTCCCGATTTAAAGAAGCGACACTGCAGGACGAGGATCAGTTCGGATTCACATCGGTGCTGAGGAGGGTCACCTTCCCCACCTCCTGCGGGATGTTCAAAAGGCTTTGAGGTCCCTAGAGAAACGTAAAAGGGGTCTGACTGCCGAGAACATTCATCCAACAAAAACTGACCACAACAAAGAACGCCTCAAACCCCTGTACTAATTTACGAACAAGAAAGGAGGCTTTCTTGCACGGAGGGTGTCATGGGTGCATGCTGCAGCTTCTTAACTCACTCCTGCATGCTCCCTAAACGTTCAACCCCTGATACGGCATTGCAGGGCTTTGGGGATTCAGGTTGCAGGGTCTGCATGGCACCGGGGGTTTTGTGTTTCCCTCCGCCTCCAAGGACCTGTCAAACGTAAAGACATAAAGGTTTAGGGGTTTAGTAGGGTTCATAGCATGGCTCCTCCATCCTCGCCACCGCATCAGCGAGGCTCATGCCGATCACGCCCACACCGCCACAAAGTTCCTCAGGCTACTCATGGCTGCCCGAGCTCCCAGCCTAAACACTACTCAAAAACCCTTATCCGGTTTCTTGTTGGGTTCCGGCGACATTTGAAGACTATAAGTAGGTACTGTCGCCAGACACTGGATTGAAGCATTGTCAATTGTTTTGTGGGGACAACCTGTTTTACGGTTTAGGACCAACAAAGCAGGAAAAGGTCGCCGACGGAACCCTACTACAAGTGAGGGTCTGGAATATGCGTACTTTAGAAGAGGAAGTGCAATCCTAAGCCCTTTGAACCCTAACACCTAAACTCCCCAACGCGATAATAATGAAGGGTCAACCCTCACCCCCGTAGCACAGCCTCCTAGTCACTTCGGGGCTTGGCGACTGAACCGCCAAGGGTTTAGGGCTTTCGGGTTTTAACATGATTGAGTTTATGCTTTAAGGTTGGTTTAGGGTGAGAGCCGTATTGAGAACTTAGGGTTAGGTTTTAGGGTTTAGAACTGTTATGTAGAAGACAACATTGCGGAGAGTTCGAGATCTTTTCGCCAGTTCTGAGCTCTACAAAAATGCAATCCTTGGGAAGCCGCTCGGTCACACTCTGCTCGCACACGATTTCGCTCATGTTTGCATAGGATGTGTCCACAGAAATCCGCAAGTAATCATCCTATCTCGCATTTCCTCGCATTCCTTCTCGCAAATGTCTGAAAGGCGCTTAGGGTCCCCCGAGTGCCTTGGAATGGAGTTATTCTGGTCCGAATAGTGGGTATTTCAATGGCATAGCAGAGGGTGGGTGGTTCTTCCCGATGGAATCTGAATGCCAAGGTTCAAGGATGCGGAGATGCTGTGAGCTTTGCATCGCACCTCCTCGCTGCCACTTTGGGTTGTTTACCTCAAAAAAACTCTGATACCCTGAACTCCCGAAGCCGGGCCAGAAGACATACTGTTGAAGATATAAATCTTGCATTACCTTAAGGACCCTAAACTATGTGAATTATGGTACATTCCCTATTTCGGGTAATGCAGGATTTATATCATCAACCGTACCACCTAAACTCTTGAAACTCCTAAACACTAAACCCTGAAGCCCTACGCACTAAAGTAAACCCTAAACCCTGCTGGTTCAAACATGAGAAGTTTTTGCAGGCCTCAAAACACTAACTAACCTCCTTCACCTTGGAGGCACCCTCAGTGGTTAATGCCATATAAGGGTGCGTGAACAGAGAGATACTACGGGTTACTACAGCCTTAACAGGGGTTCCTGCACAGCTCTTTAAAGCCCAAGTTTGTACCCTTAGCATGAGAGCTTCGTGTTGCATTTCGGGACATATCCAGCTGCCGAGACATCGAACTCCTGCATTCAAAAAAAATCAACAACCCGCGAAATGGAGTCGGAAGCCGGGTCGGAACCCCGACACTACAAGCTTAGTCACTCAACACGGAAAATTCTTAATTTGCGTTTTGAAAGTAAGGCAGGATCTCGTCTTTGCAGCATGGAAAATACGGCTGAGGAGTCTCTGCTCAAGGAAGCGGTGTGGCGGGTTGAGGGTTTCGAGGTACTTGGAGGATCATGGGACTTAGTAAGTAGGGTTTCAAGTACCTTAATTCAGGTCGCAAGTAGATATGAGTAGAGTTACCTTACTTATAATAGCCCTACCTGCTAAGTCCCATGATACTCGAAGTAATGTTGGTGGTGCCGAGGGCTCGGTTTCACATGGACAAATCATGCCTCTTGACTGCTCCGACTGATCTGTAACTACGCGAAGAACTGGAGCATCGGATAACCTAGTCAATACCTACAAACTTCTGAAACACTAGTTCCCTAAATTGGCAAAAAAAATGCGCTGCACAAAAAGTCCTGCCACCAGCTCGCACAAAGAAGACTTCATGTCCTTCCAGCGAGACTGAACCACCAGACACTCCGGATGATAGGACTATGGGCTGGATTGGGCCTCACAGTTTAAAGAGTGGCCGACAGCCCGCCCCGGCGCACAGCCAGCAAGTCCTTTTTCTGTCTGGCTGGATGCGGGCACATCCACGACAGCTCAGCTTGTGCACCTTGCCCTTAAAGCTCTTGGTTATCAGCACGAAAGGCCGAACAGCTGCCAAAAAGCTGCATGTGAATGACGTCCGGGTGCAAGTGCAGAGTCAACATACCTTCCATTCCCGTATCGATGGATGCGAAGAGGTTTCTGGGGCGATTAATGTAGGAACCGCATTAAGAAACCTTGGGCCTTCATTAGGGTGCCTTACATCAATGCTACTATTTTGGGGTTATAGGCCCAGGGTTTCTTAATCAGGTTCCTACATTGGACTCTGTATCTGAGGCATCATCTCAAGCAGTGACCTCGGATCCATACAGCAACTTGAACTGGCAAGGATATGTTTTTTTAAGTGTGTCGGACCTTTCACTCCGCCAAAGCGTCATGAGCAGCCCACCCTGAGGGGCGCACACTAAAAGAACAAAGCGACATAATGGGTTTAGAGTTTAGGGCCAGGGTTTAGGGCCGAATGGGTTTAGTTCACTAAGAACCCTAACGTCGACACCTCAAAGCTACTCAGGCATCTTCAATGGTTACACTACACTAGACGATGCACCAATGAGCATGGCGCGGAATTGGTTGCAGGTGAGTGTGTGTAGAACATTGTAGAACATATGATTGTTTATGAGGCAGGGCCCCCCAAAAAAATGTGGCAGAGCAACACTTACCTTGCGAATGAATATGTAATGACCCATGCACGATGAGCCCAGTTTGCAACCTTTCGTCCTTAACCCAAACCGTATCCCTGCGCCATGTTTGTAACCCTATTCTATTGCGACTTGCCTCTATCTGCTACATATGGCTCTGTTCCGCATGGTTATCTAAATACATGACAAGGTTCTTCGGGCTGCACGCAGCAACTGCCGTTCTACATTACCCAAGTCAACACAGCAGGGCCGAACGTGAGCTTTTGAGACAAAGGGCGACGTAGGGGCCATGGTTGAATCTTAAAAGGATGTCTTCTCGGGGCGTCACGTGAAAGAACTCCTACAGACACGAGTGCCGTAACCGGACATCATGTACAAGGAAACTTGTTGAGATATACAACCCCCGTGCACAAACGTCGTGTCTTTAACTTGCACCAACTTACCTATGCCATGCAAGAGAGCATTCGAAACTCCCCAAGACCCTGTCCCCTTGAGCCCTAAACGCACCGTATGCTGCGACTTGCTTTATGCGAGAGCTTGGAAAAATCTCAGATGACACTGCTTCGGGCTCGGGGATTTTAAGGTTTTAAGATAGAAGGATTCAGGGTATACGTCCTAAGGGTTTAAGTCTAAAGGCTTAGGGCCTCAGGGATTAGGGTTTTATGAGGGTTTAGGCGCTGGTTGTTGAGCTTCTGGTCATGGCCGAGCAGGGCCGGGTAAATCGAAGTACAGGAGCCGACATTGCAGCGTCTACGCTCCCCTAAACCCCTAAATCCTAAATCATAAGCTCACGTCGAAGCCGAAAAACGGGCGATCTCAGTGACTGCCCAACCTCAGGCCGTAGGTAAACCGGACCTGGGCCAGTGCGTTGGCAGTCGATTTGGGGATTTAGGGTTTGGGTTTTGGTACTTAGAATTGAGGGGTTTAGGTTTTTGTGCTGTTTCTCGCCTAGCTGAAATGAAGCAGACAAGGCGAATGGTTGGCATGTTCGGCCAAGAAATCATGCGATTGAGGTTTCGTGTATACGTCAGCACTACCCCTGGGTCATTTTAAAGATGAAACGATAGTCTTTGCTTGAGATGCATGGGGTGCTCTGGGCTTCGCCTGCTGTGACAGAGGAAGCAACATCAAAAACCCGCTAGTCTCAGGCCTCCGAGGATAATCCATAAAGCCAGAAACCTGAGACCTCAAACCCTAAACCCTAAAACCCCAGACCCCAAGCCTACACCCCAACCCTAAACCTCTACACCATCAAACAAAGCTGAAAAGGATGGACATGAAAGAAGTAAGTTTTCAGTCCCCTAAAGCCCCCAAGTCAGCTCTACGCTACCCCGCCAAAGCCCGAACGCATAATGCCAAAAAAAGCTCAACCCCGAACCTCTTAAAGACCCTGAACTTCGGAGTTAATACAGGGGCCTGGTCTATAACCCTGATTATGTATCCATAGAATAAACCGTCTGCAGATCCTCGTCTCCAGATCTTCGTTCAACAGTCAGACTCTGCTTGTTAAGTTTTGAATTGTCATAGCTATACGAGTAAAACCAACCCAAACTTGCTCTGCCTGTTCAGGCACCCATAGTTCTCTACAGCGCAGCTACAGTAAGGGGCCCCAGCAACAACCTTCATCAATTATGCACCTCCCTCTGCTACCCTTTCTTCATGATGGCCCCCTAAACCCTAAACCCTAAACCTTAAACCCTAAACCCTAAAGCCTAAATCCTAAACCCTAAACCCTAAACCAGGTTGCCACGAGCAAGAACGCTGGCTCCGGGAGGTCCTGTTCGCTCGGAGTCGGTGGGCGTCGAGTTGCGGGCAAGCGTTGGGGGTTTCGGTTCAGGGTTTAGGGTTTAAGGTTTACCTTAACCCTGAATAACCTACCTTTTTAGGGTTCACTATTATGATTTCCTTATATTGGTCCTCGAAAAGGTAGGTTATTCCGGGTTAAGGTAGGGTCTCGGAAATCTACAGTGACACGGGCTAAGGATTTCGGACTACTGGTTGCTGGTTTACGGGCTTATAAGGCTATAGGTTGATGGTACTATTTAGAAACTAACGTTGAGTTGACACGAAGTTTCATGGGGTGACTGCGTCTGCTTGGGTTTTATGCTGGTCTTCGAGTAACATACCGTAAGTCACTATAACCAGTTTACATAGTAGCTCAAGTGCATTCTCTAGCATGGTAACACAAAATAGGCGCTCATGTAGGGGCTTTAATAGGGTGTTGGTGAACATTCTGCTCTAATTCTCCTCAGGTCCTCGGGAATACTACGATTCAGGGCCTATGTTGCAGTATCGGTGACTGGTTTGTCAAAAATCTTGGGTCCGAGCTTAGACTATGACAAGGATAGACTAAAGCTTACATCCACCAGAGACTATACACCCCTCGACCCCAAACCATGCCATGGAAGTCTCCGATCTTGGGGCCTGATCTATACAGTCTAACCTACAACCCCGGCCCGCCAGGAAAATATTCCAACGGATCCTCCGAAGCCCAAGCCCCAAGACTGTTCAGCCTGGTGGGACATCACCCTACACCCTAAAGCCCTGAGCCCCAAACCGACAAGCTAAATACTACCTAATAAACACTGAACCCTAAGTAGACCCCCCAACTCCCCTCTACTACTACTACTACTACTACTACTACTACTACTACTACTACTACTACTACTACTACTACTACCCTAAATACCCACTATTAAGGAGGATCAGGGCTCCGTTAGATGGCCTTTAGGGAGTCCTGGCACAACCCTGAACCTTAAACCCTATACCCTAAACCCCTATACCGCTAAACCCTATACCCTAAACCCTAAATCCTAAACCCTAAACCCCTAAAGCCCTAAAATACCCTAAACCCTAAACCCTCAATCCTGAACCCTGAATCTGACCCCTGAACCCAGAAGCAAAAGGCTCCCGACCTGGTGGAAAATCAGGCTGAGGCCATCGATCTCATCAGGAGCAGTTCGCTCCTGCAGTGCTCGCTCGCAGAGGGCTTCTAGGGTTTAGGGTTTAGGGTTTAGGGTTTAGGGTTTAGGGTTCTCAAACTTCGGGGCACCCGGGGTGTGTAGAGGAATGTCTGTATGTACGTATGAACCTATGTATGTATGCACGCCTGCCTCTCTATCTCTCTCTCTCTCTCTCTCTCTCTGTCTCTCGCGTTCTATGTGTATGTGTATATATGGTCACGCGCTCCGCGGCCCCCCCCCCTCCCCCCCCAAAGGTCAATGGTCCGGATATAGGGTGGGGCCCCCCCCTCCCCTGTGGTGTGGGGTGTGGGGTTCCTCTTTCTCCTGTGGGGTGGTTGTGGGGTTTTGGGGTTTCGGGTTTAGCTTAAGCTTTTGAGTTTTGGGTTTACGGTTACAAGGTATAAGGCTTCGAGTCGACAAGGGCTTAGGGAGGATTTGCGGTGTATGCTCTGCTTTAGGCTTAGGGCCTGCAGTTATAAGTACAAGCTAAGGCTAAGGTTGCTCAAAACGGGGGCACGCGCTGCGTTATAGGGTTTACGGCTTGTTTGCGAAGGGCTTGCGCGTGAGCCGTGGCCGCCAGCACCACCCCACCATCAACAGCCCCCAACCCCTTTCCGCACACGCCAGGCCCCCCCCCCCCCCACCCCTATCAGACCATACCATTGGGGGGGGGGGGGGGCTGGGAACGCCAGACGCCTGACCATATATGTATGTACAGATGATATGCGGGCCTTTCAACTCGGATGGGTTTTGCGGGTGTATTTTATGCTATAGCTCTGGGATTTCTAAAAGTTTAAGCAGCTACTACTCGTAATCGTCCAGACCCCACTGCTACACACACAGAGGGCTTGTGAGATTTACGGAGAGTTTATGGAAAAATATGAAGCCTTTTCAGGAGCGAAGCAAACCTAATTTCCTGCGCGAAGTAGTCTGTGCCCTGCAAAAAAAAGCTAGGTCTTTAATGGCATCACTCCAGGAACACCTCACCCTTATAAAGACGACTCAGGTTAATGGCTTCTTACTCGCTGCCCTCGTAAGTGGGTCCTACTTGAAAAGATGAGCACGGCATTCCGTAAAGAAAGAGGCCGAGGCCCCGTGGACGATTTTCACCCGATAATGCTCTTTTCTCTAATTAGAAATTCACGCACAACGTTTCAGGTCGCGGGAAGGCTTGCTTGAGGCTTACGGTTTAGGGTTTAGGGATTAGGGTTTCGGGTATAGGGCTTGCTGTTGTGGTTGC